CCCTAAACCTAACCCTAACCCTAATCCTAAACCTAACCCAACCCCAACCCTAAACCTAACCCAATCCCTAACACTAAACCTAACCCTAAGGTTAACCTTAACCCTTACCCTGACTAACCCGAACCCCAAACCTAACTCTAACCCTAACCCTAATCGGAACTCTATCCATAACCCTAAGCCACACCCGAACTTCATCACTCCATCCTAATCCTAACCCTAACGCTAACCTTAACCATAACCCTAACCCGATAACACCACCACCTCCGAACCCTAACCATAACCCTAACCCGAATGCTAACCCGAACCCTAACCCTAACGCTAACCCTAACTCTAACCCTAACCCAAACCTAACATTAATCCTAACCTTAACCTTGACCTTAACCCTCACCGCAAACCTATCCATACCCATAACCCCAAACCTAACCCTAACCCTTACCACAAACCTAACACCAACCGTAACCCTAACCCTAACCCTAACGCCAACCCTAACGCTAACTCTAGCCTTAACCCTAATCCTAACCCTAACCCTAAACCTAACCCTAAACCTTTTCCTAACCCATCCCTCACCCTAACCCAAATCCTAATTCTAACACTATCGCTTACTAACCCTAACCTTGACGCTAACATTAAACCTAATCCTGACCCTAACCCTAACCGTAAACTTAACCATACCCATAACCCCAACTCCATCCGCACCTGAACTCCATCATGAACCCTAACCCTCACCCTAACCCTAACACTAACCTTAACCATAACCCTAACCCGACAACACCACCACCTCCGAACCCTAACCATGACCCTAACCCGAATGCTAACCCGAACCTTAACCCTAACGTTAACCCTAACTCTAACCCTAACCCAACCCTAACCTTAATCTTAACCCTAGCTCTAACCTTAACCCTCACCCTAACCCTAATCATAAACCTAACCCTAACCCTAACCCCAACCCTAGCCCTAACCCTAACACCAACCCTAAACCTTACCCTAACCCTAACCCAAATCCTAATCCTAATACTAACCCTTACTAACTCTAACCTTTACCCTAACCCCAACCCTAAACCTTACCCTAACCCTAACCCCAACCATAACCCTAACCCAAACCCGAACCCTAAACCTAACCCTAACCCTAACCCTAATTGGAAGCTCCACTAATGATGTCACCTAACATAGTCACAAAACATATGAACGAGAACAAGCCAGTTCAGCGAGCAAATCAACAACATCACACACAATCTGAGATACAGATCTTCAGCAAAACTTTAATCATATACTGTGTGTTTTGAAGTACAACACCCTCAGTCCTACATTGACTGTCCTCCTGCTCATACTTGTCCCTTTATCTATTGTCCCTGACTTTAGATTCCTGACCTTTTCCACACTCTGTCCAAGAAGATAGATGAGGGCAAATCAGTAGATGTTTTCTACATGGACTGTAGCAAAGCTTTCAAAAAGATTCCACATTTTAGACCGTCTAGTTAGATAGGATCACATAGGATTCAGGGACACCTCACCAATTGGATACAGAATGGACTTGACAGTGACCAAGGTTGGCGGTGCAGGTTCATAGTTCCTTGAAAGTGGCATCACAGTCCCAAAACGTCAACTTTCCTGCTCCTCTGTTGTCTGGCCCGCTATGTTCCTCCAGCCCCATACCGTGCTATCTCTGACTTCAGCATCTCCAGTCCTTGCTATCTCTCATTTGGCACGCTTGCCTTCATTGGTCAGAGCATTGAGTACAGGAGTTGGGATGTCATGTTGCAGCTGCAGAGGACGTTGGTGGGACCACTTTTGGGGTACTTACAGTTCTGGTCCCTCTGCTATAGGAATGATTTTATTAAATTGGAAAGGGTGCAAAAAATATTTAGTCCCAGTGATACCCTTTGTAAAGGGTTTGAGCTATAGGGAGAGGCTGAATACGCCTTTCTCTCTTTTTTTTTTCCCTGGAGTGTAGGATGCTGAGGATTGACTATATTTAGGTTTATAAAATCATGTGGGCCATAAATAAGGTGAAGTGCAAAGGTCTTTTCCCCGGGGTGGGAGAGTTCAAAACCAGAGGCATTTTTTAAAGCAAGAGGGGGTAGCTTTGTAAAAGACCTGAGCGGTAACTTTTTCACACAGAGGGTGTGCATGTACGGAATGAACTGCCAGAGGAAGTGGTGGGGGCTGGTAAAATTACAACATTTGAAAGATATTTGGACAGGTACATGCATGGAAAGATTTAGAGGGATATGGGTCAAATGCAAGGAAATACAACTAGTTTAGTTTGGGAAATCTGGTTGGCATGGGCAAGTTGGACTAAAAGGTCTGTTTCTATGCTGTATGACTCTTGACTCTGTAACCTTGGCTGATCCCTCCCCCCACCTTAACATTTTTCCACAATTTTCCATACAACCGAAATACCCCATCACATCCCATCGGAACAGCTCCCACCTTTGTAGAATCTAAAGGCTGTTTAGTCTGAGTCTGACTCCCATTGAGTCTGCATTGGTTAACACTAACCATCTCTTTTCTTTCATATTTTTAAATTTTGGGGTCTTTACTGTGAGGGGTCTGGGCACTAAATTCTGAATCACACAGGAATGCCCCTGACCTTTACTATAGTTATGGAGAGGTATAGGAGCAGACGGTATGGGCAAGTATTTAATTGGGGGAGGGGGAATTACAACACTATTAGGCAAGAACTGTGGAGCACAAATTGGGATCAGATGTTCTCAGGGAAATGCACGACAGAAATGCAGAGGTTGTTCAGGGAGCAGTTGCTACAGGTACTGGATAGGTTTGTCCCACTGAGGCAAGGAAGGGATAGTAAGGTGAAGGAACCTTGAATGTCAACACATGTGGAACATCTAATCAAGAAGAGATAGGAAGCTTAGTTAAGGTTGAGGAAGCAAGGGTCGGACAGGGCTCTAGAGGGTTACAAGGTAGCCAGGAAGGAACTGAAGAGTGGACTTAGGACAGCTAGAAGGGTACATGAAAAAGCATTGGCAGGTAGGATTAACGAAAACCCCAAGGTGTTCTACACTTATGTGAGGAACAAGAAGTTGGCCAGAGTGAGGGTAGAGCCAATCGGGGATAGTGGAGGGAATTTGTGCCTGGTGTCGGAGGAGGTAGGAGAGGCCCTTAATGAATACTTTGCTTCAGTATTCACCGGTGAGAGGGACCTTGTAATTTGTGAGGAGAGTGTGAAACAGGCTGAGATGCTTGAACAGGTTGATGTTAGGAAGGAGGATGTGCTAGAAATTTTGAAAAACAAAAGGATAGATAAATTCCCTGTGCCAGATGGGATATACCCAGGTTACCACGGGAAGTGAGGGAAGTGATTGCTGCCCCTTTGGCAATGATCTTTGGGTCCTCACTGTCCCCTGGAGTAGTGCCAGAAGATCAGAGGGTGGCAAATGTCATTCCCTTGTTCAAGAAAGGGAATAGGGGTAATCCTGGGAATTACAGACCAGTCAGTCTTACTTCTGTGGTGGGCAAATTATTGGAGAGGGTTCTGAGAGATAGTATTTATGATTATTGTTTGATTAGAAATAGTTAGCATGGCTTTGAGAAGGGCAGGTCATGCCTCACAAACCTTATTGAATTCTTTGAGGATGTGACAAAACACGTTGATGAGGGTAGAGCAGTGGATGTAGTGTATATGGATTTTAGCAAGGCATTTGATAAGGTTCCACATGGTAGGCTCACTCAGAAAGTAAGGAAGCATGGGATTCAGGGAAATTTGGCTGTCTGGATACAGAATTGGCCGTCCAATAGAAGACAGAGGGTGGTAGTAGATGGAAAGTATTTAGCCTGGAGCTCGGTGACCAGTGGTGTTCTGCAGGGATCTGCTCTTTGTGATCTTTATAAATGACATGGATGAGGAAGTGAAGGGATGGGTTAGTAAGTTTGCCGATGAGACAAAGGTTGGTAGAGTTGTGGATAGTGTAGAGGGCTGTTGTAGGTTGCAATGGGACATTGACAGGATGCAGAGCTGGGCAAAGAAATGGCAGTTGGAATTGAACCTTGAAAAGTGTGAAGTGATTCATTTTGGAAGGTCGAATTTGAATGCAGAATACAGGGTTAATGGCAGGATTCTCAGCAGTGTGAAGGAACAGAGGGATCTCGGGGTCCACGTCCATAGATCCCTTAAAGTTGCAACCCAAGCTGATAGGGCTGTTAAGAAGGTGTATGGTGTGTTGGCTTTCATTGGCAGGGGAATTGAGTTTAAGAGCTGCAAGGTTATGCTACAGCTCTATAAAACTCTGGTTAGACCACACTTGGAAAAGTATGTTCAGTTCTGGTCACTTCAGTATAGGAAGGACGTGGAAGCTTTAGAGACGGTGTAGAGGAGATTTACCAGAATGCTGCCTGGGCTGGAGGGCAGGTCTTATGAGGAAAGGTTGAGGGAACTATGGCTTTTCTCATTGGAGCGAAGAAGGATGAGAGGTGATTCGATAGAGGTGTACAAGATGATGAGAGGCATAGATAGAGTGGATAGCCAGAGACATTTTCCCCAGGGCAGAAATGAGTATTATGAGGGGGCATATTTTTAAGGTGATTGGAGGAAGGTATAAGGGAGATGTCAGAGGTAGGTTCTTCACACAGAGAGTGGTGGGTGTGTAGAATGCGCTGTCAGCGGTGGTAGTGGAGTCAGATACTTTGGAGACTTTTAAGCGACTCTTGGATAGGCACATGGAGGATAGTAAAATGTAGAGTATGCAGGGTAGATTGATCTTAGAACAGGATAATAGGTCAGCACAACATTGTGGGCCGAAGGATCTGTACTGTGCTGTACTGTTCTTTGTTCTATGTTCTATGTTCTATGTGCTGTACTGTTCTATGTTTTAAGTTCTATGAATACCCTTTTGATGTATGCATCTACGTACTGTTGACATGGGGCAGTTGAATGTAATGTTACGATTTGGTTACATCTTCTGGACAAGTGCTATCTGTTTCTAATAGATTGGCTAGGTCCCAACACTGATAGGGTTTAAACAGCAGTAAACGCAAACATCAACTGGAGGATGGAGGTTTCTTTATCATCAAAATAAGGTTACAGATTCTTAATAACAAAGCTTTCACTCAATGCAAAAAAAACTACTTTAGGTTTAAATCCATATGGTATTTGCAGTTCTTCAGATTTACTTTCAAAAATAAATCTCGCTCATGGTTAACAAGTTTGAGTTTCCCACCAGTCACCAGGAGCATAGGATAGTCCCCAGAAAAGATCAACGGCTAGAAAGATCTCCACCTGAAAAAGTACAGTGAGGAATTGAATAATATAAATGAATCTGAAAATATTTTTTCAAAGGCATCATGTAAATCATTACAAACAAACATTGGCTGCTCTCTTCCGAAGTTTACCAGTTTGTTTATAACTGTCTGCAGTCTGTCACTATCTTATTCATTGCTACATCAGTCAAAGTGAATCTCTTGGGACCCAGTCTGCCATGGCCTTTGTTGTATGGCTGTTGGTTTATTTTTGTGATGAAGTTTAACAATGAAATATGAGAGTCATTCTGGAATCACCACCGTTATTTGTCAGAGAGAAGTGACTGTGTGGCGTCTGGTAGTGGAAACTTATTTGCATGTGGCGATTATGACAGAAAAGAGAAACCGTTCAGACATTGGCTGCAACTGAATTTGAGGTGAGCGAGTTTTTTAAGACTCTTTTAAAAAGCTTGGATTCAGTTTGAAGGAGACCTGATTAATGTGAAGTATATTGTTTTTGATTGATTAAGAAAATAAATTGCTTCAATGAAAGAGTTTACCTTGAGACCATGAGTGTTTTGTTACACATATCCATTCATTATTCAAAGCTGAGAAAGTTTAATGTAACTCAGTGTGGAGCTGGAGGAACACAGCAGGCCAGGCAGCATCAGAGGAGCAGGAAAATTGACATTTCAGGTCGGGAGCCTTCTTCAGAAATGGGGGAGGGGGAAGGGAGATCAGAAATAAATAGAGAGGAGGGGTGGTTCTAGGGAAGGTAGGTGGGATGGTCATAGGTGAGTGCAGGTAGGGAGTGGCAGGGATTGGTCAGTGAGGTGGGAGGGACGGATAGGTGGGAGAGAAGATGGACAGGTTGTGTCAGGTCAAGGAGGCGGGGATGAGAGGGAGAGTGTTGGTCATGGGATGAGGCCAGGGTGGGGAGACTTTGCAACTGGTAAAATCCACATTGAGGCCATTGGGCTGTAGGCTCCCAAGGCAGAATATGAGGTGCTGCTCCTCCAGTTTGTAGGTGGTGTCATTGTGACGCTGGAGGAGGCCCAGGATGGACATGTTGCCCAGGGAGTGGGAGGGGAAGTTAAAATGGTTCGCGACCGGAAGGTGTTGTCGTTTGTCGTGAACAGAGCGTAGGCGCTCTACAAAGTGGTCTACAGAGTTTAAGGTCTCAGTTGTGAATCTTCAAGGAAAAGGCTAAAGATTAAACAGGCGAGGGAAGTGTCTCTAGATACTGTATAACCCTAACATGTTGTGGAATAGCTAGCCTTTGTATCTGCTGCATATTTTGAGAATTCACAACCTTAGCTTTCTTTTGTCAGTAATAAACTTCTGTTTTAATATCAAGAACCTTGCTGCAGATTTAGTTTTGTTTCAGCAAGAAACCATTTTGTGTCTTGAGTCAGTTGTGACTGCATCTCAGGATCATGTAATCAGATAGGAAGAAGAGTCTAATAAAATAAGGTGATGACTTGGAAATCCTGTCAGTGGATATTGTTTCTGAGAATTTAAATAAAGGAGAGAGGTAAAGAGATTGAGGCTGAAATGTAAAGCCCATAGTCTTTAATCGAAATGTGGGAAGTGGACCACAAGCAGTGTTTCCTGTGTAAACTGCTGGTACATACTACAGTTCTGAGGTTGGTGTAAAACATTGGCACAATCCACACTCTTTGGCAGTACGGACTCAAAGCGCTAAAGAGCCTGTCATGTGCTGTATAAATCAAATGAGCAACTATTCAGTCTCCTCGCCATCAGAAGCTGCCTTTCCCTCTGAATTAAAAAAAAAACACTAATGCAAGCTCCAGAAGCTGGCCAGCTGTAACTGAGCACTGTGCTGAGAAAGTCATGTAAGAGCCACACAAAGTAATTCAGTGCTGAATGGGAAAGAGAGAGAAGGTGACAGCCTACAAATAAGCAGTGAAGTGACAGACCAAATCAAGTCATAAGGTACATATCCAGATAAACATAAATATACTCAGTGTTAATGCCTGAGCTGTGGCTGTCCCTGTGCCTAAAGGATCCTTCCAGGAACATGCAAGTCACAGGTGTCTCTGTGCAGTAAAATGGGGACAGCCTGACGTGGGCCGAGGTGGGGGTGAGGGGGGGCAGTGTCACTCTGGGAGGGGGAAATGTGGTCAGGCAGGGTCAGTCTGGGAGGGGGTCGGGGTCAGGAGTCAGTGGAGGATATGGTTTTGGAGGGCGTTGGTCTGGGAGCAGGCATGTTGAGGCTAGTGGGTTGTTGAAAGGGACAGATGCTGCTGAGTGGTCACGGAGTACAGATGACAGTATTGTGACTATGTTGTTAGATGCCGAGTCAAGTATTCAGCCCCTTACAGGTATGTGCTGTAATTCCATGTCAGGAATCTGCAATGTCTAGTTTCTGGGTGAAGAGCAAAATAGGAAGTGGTGCATGAATAAGGCAAATTGGGCCTCAAACATGTGGAAATAAGGTATCCACCTCAATGCCAAGATTTTGATAGGGTTTGTGTGAAAAATTGGGAAACTACTTCTCAACGTGAAGAATCTGATTTTCATTTTCATTGTTTTTACCACCTTTTCTGACCTTTACTCAAACCACAACAGGGAGGAGAACAAGCTATAGCGCATCTCAGTTTGCACTTGTACAAAGATAATATCAATATTTAACATTTCACCACTTGCCAAATCCATACTTTTTGTCCAATTTCCAAAATAAACAGATATTTTCTCCAACCAGTTATATGGAAGACTGGAGCCATTGCTTTGATCCTCACAATTCTATTGTCTCAGCCAGGGCTCCCTGTTTGGGGCTGTTACTTTGGTCCAATCAGGAACTCTTATTCTATGATGACCACCTGGCTGACATCATTACAATCACACCAGTTACTAATGTGAAACCAGATACATTTCTGGAAAAAACAGACATCCTGAGCTCAAGGCATATGCAAGAAAAACAATGTATATGGCATGAGAAACAGGGTGCTCAGTTAATTCAAATTGAACAAAATGGTGCTATGGCGAATACACAAGGGAACAGGCATCCCAAACCTTCTGCTTAAATTCAAGAAAGGTGAATCCAGTCTGTTCAAGATGATTAACTCCACATTATTGCACAAGACTGGATCTAAAATAGCTTCCTTCTTAACTAAAACTAGACTAAAATGAAACTGGAGTCTGACTGGTAAAACTACAGGACAGCAGTGTATGATTTTAAGTAGAAGATGCTTTAGATATAGGTTAGATACACTCCAACATTGGTTAAAGGTAATGGAGCTGCAGCTAGTGGTACCAAAAATAAAGGTGTATGATCACGTCAGGTGAATTCTTCAAGTAAGAACCAGGACAAATACAATTGGCTAGGAGTGGAGGTGAGGAGAAATGTAAATCTAGCAAACACAATTTAGGAGCCCAGGTAGGCCACTCGCACCATTAAGCTTGTTTTCCCCACTCAATAAGATCATAACTGATCTGATCGGAATCTCAAATCCTTCCCTATCTCTCCCAAATAGCTTAATGCAGAACTCTTTTCTTTCCTTTATTGCCTTGTGTAAGACATGTCTAACATGGTCTCCAAGTGATACTCTGATGTGGTGACTGGTGCATCCAGCTTATCAGACATAGTTTCCATTGGCTGAGTAGGATGTTTTAGTGTAGTGTGTACTAGGGCACAGGGATCAAAGAGCTGAGTGTACATTCTCAATGCGCCCTGGCACTTACCCTGACAGCTGCTGCACTCACAGCTGAGAATTACTGGCAGAACAACAGGCTCCACATCTCCATTGTCACATTGCAAATTCATGAACTGTACTGGCCGTTCAGGATCAAGCCGGTAACTGCAACAATCGCAGACACTCTGCAGGTAAGGCTCCTGCAACACAATACAATCAGTTGCATTCAGATACAAAACATGACATTGTTTTGAAATTTTGTTCATTTGATGTGGATGTTACTGGCAGCTCCATTTATTGCCTAGAGAGCAGTTAAGAGTCAACCACATGGTTGGGGGTTTGAAGTCACACAAACCAGACCAATAATTTGTAATTTAGCCCCAGCTCCTCATATGCCCTCAGCAGGACCTCATTCCTCTTTTTACTGATTTTATTGGTACCTACATGGACCACGATAACTGGATTTTTCCCCTCCCACTCCAAATTCCTCTGCAGCCCAGATGACATATCCTGAACCTGGGCACCAGACAGGCAATACAGCCTTTGAGACACTTGATGCTGGTCAAAGAGAACTGTGTCTATTCCCATGACTATATTATTACCAATTTACAGCTATGTTTCTGCCCCCACCACCACCAAAATACCTTCAATCTGAAAGTAACCTGTGATAGTTACATTAGTAGCTACTACCAAGCAATGAGCTTGCGGTTTTCCTCAGCTTCTTGACCCACAGACTGCAATGAATGAAGATCAACAACAGCACTTCCTCCACAATAATCCTCAACACTAGTACCCCACAAGGATATGATCTTAGCCCCCTACTGTAGCCCCTGTACACCATGACTGTGTGGCCAAATTCTGTATGAACACCATCTAGTTTGCTGACAACACCACCTTGGTAGGCCAGATATCAAACAATGATCAGTCAGAATAATGGAAGGAGATAGATTGGTGGAGTGATGCAATAATAATAATCTCTCTTTCAATGTCGGCAAAATATAAGAACTGATTGTTGACTTCAGGAAGAAAGGAGGAGGACACACCCCTATCTACACAACAGAGTTGAGGCTGAGAGGTGGAAAGCAACAAGTTCCTAGGAGTGACGATCACCAACAATCTGTCCTGGACTTCCCAGGTAGATGCGACAGTCATGAAGACACACCAACACCTCTTCATCCTCAGGTGGCTTAGGAAATTTGGCATGTCCATAAGGAGCCTCATCAACCTTTACTGATGCACCCAAAAAAAAGCGTTCTATCTGGGTGCTTAATGGCTGTTACAGCAACTGCTCTGCCCATAGAACCATAGAAACTACAGAAAATTGTGTACACAGCCCAGACCATCACGGAAGCCAACCTCCCATCCATGGACTCCATTTAGACAGCTCGCTACTGCGGAAAGGCGGACAACATCATCAAAGACCCCTCCCACCCTGATAATGCTCTTCTACAACCTCTTCCATCAGGCAGAAGATGCAGAAGCTTGAACACACGCACCAGCAGGTTCAAGAATAGCCTCTTCCCAGCTGTTATTAGACTGATGAATAGACTGTCTAACTTCAAATAATGTTGATTTTGCTAATGGTGATCTTGCGCAGTGTAACCTGTATGCCTCTCTCTGTCTAAGCACCCTATGATCTGTATGGCCTTGTTTTCTATGATCTGTCTGTACTGCTCACAAAACAAAGCTTTTCATTGTACTTAGGTACATGTGACAACAATAGATCAAATCAAATTCCTCTCTCTTTTGTGCTAGGTCCTTGAACCTGGATTTAAGTTTATCCTTTAAAAAAAAATTACAAGCTAGGAGCCAAAAAAGCAAGCAAAAAGCACCTCTTCCCCTCAGCACCAAATTCCCATGCTGCCTCCAATTTCCTTGAACTAACTCTTCATTTGGACTGTGTCTCACTCCAGTTGTGATCTCTCATTCTGGGCCTTTCGAAGCTTACTGAAATGTTCTCCCACTGAAACTTGATTCACTTGACCATTGTCATTTCCAAGGGCCAAATCCAACAACGCATCCTTCCTGTTAAACAGAACATATAGTGCTGCAGGAAACTCTCCCTAACAGTCCAGGAATCCTTTCTCCTTACTGCCCCTCACACTATCAGTATCCTAGGCTATGTTTGAGTAACTGAATTCCTCCTTTATAACTACTCCATAATGTTGACATTTCTCGAGAAGTTCCTCACAAATTTATTGAGTGTCAAAAGCGAAAAGCAAGACTGGATGGTCTTTAATGCTACGAGTGTAATAGGTAAGACTAATGAGTTAATGGTGTGGATTCATACATGGAAGTGTGATATTGTTGCTACCACTAAAAGTGAGCTAATCCCAATTTCCTGCACTTGTCCCCTGTCCTTGAATAATATGATATTTGAAGTACTCATCCATACGAGGGAACGAGAGAGACTCCCAGGTGCCAGGGTCCGTGATGTCTCGGATCGTGTTTTTGGGATCCTTAAGGGGGAGGGGGGGCAGCCCCAAGTCATGGTCCACATAGGCACCAATGACATAGGTAGGAAAAGGGATGGGGATGTAAGGCAGAAATTCAAGGAGCTAGGGTGGAAGCTTAGAGCTAGAACAAACAGAGTTGTTATCTCTGGTTTGTTACCCATGCCATGTGCTAGCGAGGCGAGGAATAGGGAGAGAGAGCAGTTGAACATGTGGCTACAGGGATGGTGCAGGAGGGAGGGATTCAGATACCTGGATAATTGGGGCTCATTCTGGGGTAAGTGGGACCTCTACAAATGGGATGGTCTACACTTGAACCAGAGGGGTTCCTGGGGGGGAAATTTGCTAATGCTCTTCGGGAGGGTTTAAACTAATTCAGCAGGGGGATGGGAACCTGAATTGTAGCTCCAGTGTACAGGAGATTGAGAGTAGTGAGGTCATAAATAAGGTTTCAAGGTCACAGGAGTGTGCTGGCAGGCAGGAAGGTGGTTTGAAGTGTGTCTACTTCAATACCAGGAGCATCCGGAATAAGGTGGGTGAACTTGCAGCATGGGTTGATACCTGGGACTTCGATGTTGTGGCCATTTCGGAGACATTGATAGAGCAGGGACAGGAATGGTTATTGCAGGTTCCGGGGCTTAGATGTTTCAGTAAGATCAGGGAAGGTGGTAAAAGAGGGGGAGGTGTGGCATTGTTAGTCAAGGACAGTATTACGGTGGCAGAAAGGATGTTTGATGAGGATTCGTCTACTGAGGTAGTATGGGTTGAGGTTAGAACCAGGAAAGGAGAGGTCACCCTGTTGGGAGTTTTCTATAGGCCTCTGAAAAGTTCCAGAGATGTAGAGGAAAAGATTGCAAAGATGATTCTGGATAGGAGCGAAAGTAACAGGGTAGTTG